ACAACAGTCACTCTTTGTGGCCTTCATAGATCTCACAAAGGCCTTTGATTTGGTTAGCAAGGACGGCCTTTTTAAAATACTTCCCAAGATTGGATATCCACCTTACCTCCTTAACATCATCAGGACCTTTCATGAGGAAATGAAGGGCACTGTAGTTTTTGATGGCTCAACATCAGATCCCTTTGATATCCGAAGCGGAGTGAAACAGGGCTGTGTCCTTGCACCGACCCTGTTTGGGATCTTTTTTGCTGTCATGCTGAAGCATGCCTTTGGAACTGCAACAGAAGGTGTCTATCTATGGACTAGATCAGATGGAAAGCTCTTTAATCTCCTAGTGAGAGTGAAGACCAAAGTCTATCTGAAATGCATGTGGGAATTCCTCTTTGCCGATGATGCAGCTGTTGCTGTCCACTCTGCTGAAGACCTCCAACAATTCGTGAATCACTTTAACAAGGCCTGCCAAGACTTTGGATTAACAATCAGCTTGAAGAAAACACAAGTCATGGCCCAGGGCATGGGCTCACCTCCCTCTATTACCATCTCCACACAAGAATTGGAGGTTGTTCATGACTTTGTGTACCTTGGCTCAATAATCTCTGACAGTCTCTTCCCTAGATGTCAAGCTGGATAAACACATTGGCAAGGCAGCTACCATGTTCTCTAGATGCACAAAGAGAGTATGACTTAATAAGAAGCTGATGGCACATACCAAGATCCAGGTCTATACAGCCTGTATCCTGAGCACACTCCTGTACTGCAATGAGTCCTGGACCCTTTGTGCATGGCAGAAGAGGAAGCTGAACATGTTCCATATGCATTGTTTCCGATGCATTTTTGATATCACTTGGCAGGACAAAATTCCAAATAGAGTAGTCCTAGAATGAGCTGGAATTTTTAGCATGTATACATTACCGAAACAGCAATGTCTACATTGGCTTGGGCATGTTGTGAGAATGGCTGATGGTCGGATTCCAAAAGATCTCCTGCATGGAGAATTAGGGCAGGGAAATTGCCCCAGAGGGAGACCACAGCTGTGATACAAGGATATCTGCAAGCAGGATCTGAAGGCCTTAGGAATGGATCTCAACAGATGGGAAACCCTGACATCTGAGTGTTCAGCCTGGAGGCAGGCGGTGCATCACGGCCTCTCCCAGTTTGAAGAGTCCCTTGTCCAGCCGGCCAAGGCAAAGAGGCAGTCCTGAAACCAGCAAAATCAGGGAGCTGGACAGGGGACAGATTGTATTTGTCTTCAGTGTGGAAGGGATTGTCACCCTTGAATTGGCCTTCTCAGCCACACTAGATGTTGTTCCAATTCAGAGCATGTTACCATAGTCTCTCAAGACTGAAGGATGCCTACACATGTGTGTGTTACTCAACAGTTTGTGCTTTGTAGTTATGTTCTAAGGAGCATAAAAAATTATACAGTACATGGATTCTGAACTAGAGATCAATGTGGCCTACTGTCCACTAAAAGTACATATTAATCACTATTGGACATACTATGGGGAAAAACAAATATGCAGAAGTATTTAAAAAAATACAAGTAAAAACAGTTTAAAACATTTTTTTTAAAATGCTGGAGCATTTCATCTCCCCAGAAGAACTTAAAAGCTAAAAAGGCTGCTACAGGTTGATACAGTCTTTCAGATAGCCTGAAGCAAAGCTGTAGAGGTCCTAGCTAGCATTCTGAACTGGGCCCATAAACAAACCGGCAGCCAATGAAGCTGCTATAATTGGGGAGTTATATATTTCCTGTAACCACTGTCAGTCAGCAATCTGGCAATGCAGATTTTTAAGCAGCTGAAGTTCCCAAACAAAGGCAGCCCCACACAGGGCATGTGGCAGAACTAACTAAGGCATGTGTTACCATGGCCAAATCAGACATCTCAAGGAACGGGTGCACTGGCACGCCAGCTTTAACTCTGCAAATGCATTCCTGGCCTCTGCTGAGACCTGCACATCCAGGCTCAGAGCTCACTCTAGGAGCACACTCAAGCGGCAAGCTTGAAATGTTTAAGGAGAGTGTAACCCCAACCCATGCAGTATAGGCTGAATCCCTCTCCCCTTGATCTACTTTTTGACTGACAAGGAGTACTTCTGTCTCTTCTGGACTAAGTTTCAGTTTATTTGCCCTCATCCATTCCATTACTGACAACCTATACTTCCTATTAACGTATTTCTCCGTGTATAAGACTATACTTTTGTCTAAAATCTTTAGACTAAAAATTGGGGGTCGTCTTATGCACGGAAGTAAGCTGAGGAGAGAACAAAAACAAGTGGAGGGGAAAGCAGGGATCAAAGCAATCCTAGAGTGCTTTGATCCCTTTCCCCCTACACTTGCCAAGCCCCACTTAGATTTCTTAATTTTGCATTAGAAAAGTGGGGGTGTCTTATACATGGGGGCATCTTATACACAGAAAAATAGGGTATATATCCTAATGGCTAGAGACTCTTTAGGTATTACAGAATTGCAGAGCTGTGACCGATCTGCCAATGAGACATATAACAGGATGAACAGGATTAGGGTAAAAGCAGCTGCCTACGGTCTGGATTTGGTTTAGACCCCGAGAGAGCTCTTGAACTACGTTCCTCTTCCTGACAAAAGGAATCCCACTTAGCTGCACCAGAAGTTAGGAGCTGCTTGTGCTGCCAGTTAGCTCTTTCTCGGGGAGAGCAAAAGACACACATTATGGCATATTAGCATTCAACTAGTTCACAATTGCTAATGTGTCATAGCATTTTATTTGCATTTCTTACATTCATGTCTGGATTCAGACATGGTGAATTTGAACAAGCATCATTAGACTTGCTTTGGTACAGCTACTACTGGACTAGTCCATTTCAAACCTGATGGGAGGATTTAACTTTTCAATCCTCTTCCATGTCATCTACACACAGACACATACATAAATGGCATTCTAGCTTCCCTTGCAAGAAAAGTCTCTAGTTCTACTTAAAAGAGATTTTCTCCAAGATTAGTTGCGATGGAGTTACCTATTTAATTCTGAAAACCAGGGCTCTTTGTCTTTCTGCAATTTCCTCTTCACAATCCCTTTGCTACCTGGCCTTGAATTTTGAATTCATTCCCTACCCTAAGTGATTCTCTGAATCAATATATTCTAAGCCTCTGAAAGGAGCCTATTTTTACTGACTATACATTTGTTAATAGTCTCTCAGTTGCTCTGCTCACTTGGAAGTATTGGGGAAAACAGGGGAATCTAATTTCAACCAACCACATTTTGATAAGACTCCTTATAAATAACAAGTCTCCATTATGAGATGTAGTGAAGTAATAATTCTTTCCCCTTTTTTCCCCTCAAGTCTTTCAGACACTGAGCCGGTGAGCTGGGACTATCTCCTTTGTTGTTATTTTTACTGATCTTATGTAAGCTGACCTTGGAGTCTTTTTAGCTGAAAAACACGGCATAATTACTATAAATACAAAAAGTCCCCCAGGTCCCTCTCTTTGTAGGAAAATGAACAAAACAAACAAACAGAATATTCCTACTTTAACTTCTGCTTCTCTTGTTTAAACAGAGGACTTTCTAGCAAAAAAAAACAAAACTTCATTTGAATCTTTCAATGGTGTCATTTCAACATAGTCTTGAAAAGGTTACAGCATTTTTTCATTAACAGACTTAATTTAGCATTAGCTTTTTTGATTTTAATTATAACATCATAATTTAATTATATAATTTTATGATTTTAATTACTATCTGCTTCCTTAGCTTGCATGCTCCCACACATATTAGAAAGTAAAAGAGAATTCAAGAAAATTGTTAACTTAATTCTGCAAGTCTTAAAGATGCTCAAAAATTTGTTACGCTTCTTATCTGTTTACAAATCAACACAGCTATTCTTGCAGTTTGCTAGCCAAAGGAAGCTTCTTGGCTTGCTCCCTCATTAGTTTGTAGGCATGCAGTCCATCTCAATACAGAGTGTAAAGCAGAGGTCCATAGACCTTGTCTGGCAAGGATGGCCATCTCACATATGTGGCTGCCACAAAATCTCCAGGTGAGACAAGGAGGAAGGCAGTGAGGTTGGCTTATAATTCCATGCTGGATTTTAAGGGCCCATTGAGAACCTCTAACATTTACCAGGACTGGTTGGCCTTACCTCTCTCTCCCCAGTCTCTCCCACCCAGACATCTAGCTAATGCTGCAGGAGACATGCACCTGTATTTGTTAGCACAGAGGGGGAAAGCCCCTCTAAAGTTCAGCACAAAGTCTGGAGCAGTAGTGGGCAAAATGTGCCACTCCCCAGTTCTGTGACCCTAAAAGAACCACCAGCTAAATTTATAAAAAGGAAAAACATGCACCTGGAATTCTGCAAGGAGCATGGCTCTCCTCTATAACAGGAGGCAGCCCATGCCATCACAACTTACCTTGTCCAAAGAAAAAGAAGAAAGGAGTTTTGGCATAGCAGAAATGGAACTGTGGCCAAGTTGGGGCATGGGCAGGCCACAGTGGGGCTTGGGGCAGAGTGACCCCCAAACTCGCTCATTCCCCTTCATAGAGAGCACTCCAAGATAAGGATTTATGTAAATATACCTATATAAATACATCCCTATACAAGCTTCTCAGCAACCCCAAACACCTGATGGACTTGGGCAGTTGCAACTTAAGAGACCACTTTTCCATGTTCTGATTCCAAGACCTCCTTTTAGAATGTCAGCCCCTAGCCATACTCTTGGTATCTGCAGCTACACCACAGACATCCTGTTCCAAAAAAGGACAGGCGCTTCACTCCGCTATAGCTCACTAGACTAAAAGCCTATCTGACCCTTGTTTTTCCATTCAGTTTGGAAGTGACATTCCGGTGTTCCTTCCAGTTTGTTATCTTTTCATAAGCTAAGCACACAAAGCAGCCACCGTTGTCCATAGTAACACACTGTGATCTTTTTCCCAGCTCCAACACAAACCAGACAGACAGCTCCATAACAAAAACAGTTCTCTACTACCTATCTCTTCATGGGAGGAAAGAAGAAAAAAAATCCCACATTCAAAAGGTTCTTTGCTGTGTATCCAAGTTACTTTTGCTACGCCAGTTTATCCATGAACCAACACCAACCTTCTTCAGAAGTTTCATATACGCAACGGCTTTCTTCTTGTACTGAAGCATACACTCAGCTGAGAGGGGGTTGATGAACTCCACTCCTCCCTGAGGCCCATAGCTCTGCGAGGCAGTGAAGCAGTCCAAGTTGTTGGTGAAGAATGAAGCAATCTAGATATACAAAGACAGAAAGGAAATGCTGGGGTAACCAAGACAAAAAAAATGGTACATCACAGTCTGGCGTTACAAAAATGGGTCACAATAAGCATTAGGCTCACGTGTACGCTTTTCTTCATTTGTGGTCAGAAGGAAAAATTTGAATGCCTCTCTTTCCATGTTGGCTTTGGAAGATATAGGCTGCTGTGCTATCCAAACACCGACAAACTGTAGCTAATCTTAAGAACTATTATTAGAAACAAAGTTTATGAAATTGGCTTGTTTGCAGTGATGATGGTTAAGAATTTGGAAAAGGTGTCCAATGCTTCTCAATGAGAGAGGAAAAAAATCACCAAAAATTAACGACGCCTCAGAACAACACCAAATTAAGTTTGCTTACGTTTCACAAGCTGGACTATCGATGCCAAGCATTTAAAACAGGCTTCAAACAGTTCAAGGCACTTTTAAATGAGTGAAAAGAGACATTGTCGTGCGAAAATTCCCCATAGGAAACATCGTTGTGTGAGGCGGCAAATTTTTCAGAAAAAGCCATCGTTGTGTGAATTTATCGTTGTGTGAGGCACTCATTGTGCAAAGCACCACAGTAGATCTTTTGCACAAGCCAACCCTGCAAAATGCAAGCCCACTCAGAACTAAGTTCAGTGACGCTTACTCTGCATTTCTACAGCAGAGAGAGACAGATGTCTGTGCCTAAAGGTCTTTCAACTCCAGCCAGTCTGATCAGTGGAGAAAGACTGGAACATGTAGTCCAAACTATACAGAGGGCACCAGACTATTGATCTCTGATGTATAACACTGTCACCTAAGCTAGCAGGAATTTCAGGACACTGATTAAGTTGGAAACCATTTACTGTGAGAGCTTAGCCTCTTTAAAATGGAGGACCACATTCTTCTAATTTTCAAGCTCCCAGTAAGCCTATCAGTTACCCTGGGTGAAAATGAACTGCATACGCATCATATGATGAGCTCCATTTGATTGTCTCCATTGCCTTCTTCACCAAGATTAAGGCCAAACCTTTTTCCTGCCGCCACTTCCTTATTTTTGTAACAACTTGCCTGATGAAAAGACCCATCACCTTTGTCTCTTTTTAGTTCAGCTTAGGAGAACTATCACCCACTATGAATTTAGGCTGCTGCAACTACTCTAGGCAAGAAGAGATGTTACCTTGCCTGCTCCATTCATCAGTGCTACCACAGACGATAAGATGCAGTCATTGGTGGTGATGAGCTTCTGCGTAGCTGTGGGGAGTTCACGCTCCAAGGCAGCTTTTTGATTATAATGCTTGCAAATATCTAGAGAAAAATTAACTTGCATCAGCTCTGCACAAAATCTAGCTATAATTCTTTACAAGTGTCATCAAAAGTAAGACTCATCCGTCCCAACCGAATGACAGTAAGTTTTATTCCTAGGAATGTTTGCATAATATGGCAGTATAATTGTTCATCTTCACATTCTGGAGAGCCAGTATGAACTGTGTAGAACAGCGGTTCCTAACCTTGGGTCCCCAGATGTTCTTGGACTGCAATTGCCAGAAGATTTCATCACCAGCTGTGCTGACGGGGTTTTTTGGGAATTGCAATCCAACAACTTCTGGGTTGTACACTGGTGTACAGTAATAAGCAAAAAAAAAAGTCTGCATACTATCCCAATTTTCATCAGTAGATGGAACACATTTCAAATATTCCAATATTACCAATTTTTCATATGACTGGTAGACAGGAAAAGCTTGTATTGCCAATAAGCAGTACAGGACATTGAAGGCTGGACGATTTTGTCTTCTGTGCATCACTGTAGTATCATTCTGCTTTACTCTACCTTGTCCCTTACCCTGGCATAAAAAAGCAGCAAATAACATTTACTGTATATGCCAGCGTACAAGATGACTTTTTGGGCCCAAAAAAACATGCCTCCAAGTGGGGGGGTCGTCTTGTACGCCGGGTGCACTTCATTTGGGCCACTGAGTGAGTGACGCAATGCCACGCTGGCCAGGGAGGAAGGCAGGCAGGCAGGCAGGCAGTTGGTCTGGATGGAGGGAGGGAAGCACAGTCTGCCATGCCTGAGCGGCCAGAGCCCGCCGCCGGTCTGCCCGAGGTGCGCTCACTCGCCCATCACCCGCCTGTTTCCCCTTTTCCTCCTCCTCTTCCTTGTCCTCCTCCTGCTGTCGCCCACTCAGCCTCTTGCCCTCTTCCTTGTAAATTAAAAGGAAGCCAGGAATTTGGCAACTACTTGCAGCTGTGCTGAAGGAGGACAACAGGGAGCAAAGTAAGCTCAAGGCCAACCAAGTGGTTCTTATATTACTAAACTACGGTTTGAAATGCAACCACTTTTTCTAAACATGGTAGTTTTACAAAGAATCTGTGTCAATGGCTGCCAATGAATAATATGCCAGTTTGGGAGGATTCAGTCGGCTAGACACAGACTTCTCTTATGAAATCGACTACCTTGTAGTACTAAATAAATCGAGTCGCCAAAACAGCAAAGCAGGAGAAAAGCTGACTAAGCTAGGGCCTTAAAGGCCTTAATTCATTTGCTTTTCCGCTCCCTTTGTTCCCTGAGGAGTACGGGGTCTTGAGGGACAGATCTCTCCCAAGATCCTATGGGGCAGCTGGCCTAGTCTTGTATAAATTTGGCCAAAAGCCAAAACATCTTCCTCTCAAGCTTAAAGCACTTTGTTCAGAAGAAATGTCTCACTTTTCATGTTCACTGACCTCCCTGTCCTCTTGTTCTAAGGATTAAAATAATACACTTCTCATCCACCTACCTCAAGAAAAAAATCCTCCCAACTTGAAAATCCAAAGAGCGAAAGAGGGGCATGTGTACGAAATAGTGGCCTTGGCCATATAACTTGCCAGGGGGAGAAGACAACACCACTCTCCTCTGTTTCTCTTCAAAAGTGGCCATGCATTAAGATTAGCTGTGGATCAAGACTATATTGTCTATCCAAATCCCTATCCTTATAGATATCAAAGTTCCTCAGATCAATCAACCAAGTCTCCGGCATTCCTCTCTCCCTCAGAATTTTCCACCTGGATATAACTTGACATGCTACTCAAATAAATGTATAAAAATAACAGACCACATTTATTCCACAAAGAGCTACAAAATTTTATATTATCTGGCCTCACCTCAAGCAACGCAAGATAGAAATAACACACATATAACACGTATTTATGTATTCAGATATATTTCGGCATACATAAAGAGAAAGCCCCCTATTCAGGATAATAGATCTTTTGCACAAGCCACCCCTGCAAAATGCAAGCCCACTCAGAACTAAGTTCAGTGACGCTTACTCTGCATTTCTAGAGCAGAGACAGACAGATGTCTGTGCCTAAAGGTCTTTCAACTCCAGCCAGTCTGATCAGTGGGGAAAGACTGGAACGTGTAGTCCAAACCATACAGAGGGCACCAGACTATTGATCTCTGATGTATAACACTGTCACCTAAGCTAGCAGGAATTTCAGAACACTGATTAAGTTGGAAACCATTTACTGTGAGAGCTTAGGCTCTTTAAAATGGAGGACCACATTCTTCTAATTTTCAAGCTCCCAGTAAGCCTATCAGTTACCCTGGGTGAAAATGAACTGCATACGCATCATCTGATGAGCTCCATTTGATTGTCTCCATTGCCTTCTTCACCAAGATTAAGGCCAAACCTTTTTCCTGCCGCCACTTCCTTATTTTTGTAACAACTTGCCTGATGAAAAGACCCATCACCTTTGTCTCTTTTTAGTTCAGCTTAGGAGAACTATCACCCACTATGAATTTAGGCTGCTGCAACTACTCTAGGCAAGAAGAGATGTTACCTTGCCTGCTCCATTCATCAGTGCTACCACAGACGATAAGATGCAGTCATTGGTGGTGATGAGCTTCTGCGTAGCTGTGGGGAGTTCACGCTCCAAGGCAGCTTTTTGATTATAATGCTTGCAAATATCTAGAGAAAAATTAACTTGCATCAGCTCTGCACAAAATCTAGCTATAATTCTTTACAAGTGTCATCAAAAGTAAGACTCATCCGTCCCAACCGAATGACAGTAAGTTTTATTCCTAGGAATGTTTGCATAATATGGCAGTATAATTGTTCATCTTCACATTCTGGAGAGCCAGTATGAACTGTGTAGAACAGCGGTTCCTAACCTTGGGTCCCCAGATGTTCTTGGACTGCAATTGCCAGAAGATTTCATCACCAGCTGTGCTGACGGGGTTTTTTGGGAATTGCAATCCAACAACTTCTGGGTTGTACACTGGTGTACAGTAATAAGCAAAAAAAAAAGTCTGCATACTATCCCAATTTTCATCAGTAGATGGAACACATTTCAAATATTCCAATATTACCAATTTTTCATATGACTGGTAGACAGGAAAAGCTTGTATTGCCAATAAGCAGTACAGGACATTGAAGGCTGGACGATTTTGTCTTCTGTGCATCATTGTCGTATCATTCTGCTTTACCTTGTCTCTTACCCCAGCATAAAAAAGCAGCAAATAACATTTAATGAATATTTATGCTAGCAGACATAGTTTATATTTCATCTTCATCTGATAAAAACAAAAACTATCTTGGCCTGAGCAGTAAGTAACATGCATGCTAAAATACTATGTAAAACCTCATCTGATACACACACATGCCACATCTGTATCCTTCAACTTGATTCCTCATGTGCACAAAAAACATTCTTCAACTTAAATGTATTTTGTAAGAAGCATTGGTTCAGTTTAGAGATTAGCTACAGGGCTATATTAATTCATTTAACTTATATGCTGCCCACACTACCCAAAGGTCTCTTATGTTTAAAAAATATATTTGTAGCACCTCCGGCATAATGATCTCAAGTGCCGGGATTAAGAAACATTTTTTCCTTGAAACAAGAGCGAACTGCAAGATCTGAGTGCATGCAACACAGCTTTTGCATTCAAAGGTCCCTCCATACATTTGTGAGCCTTTAACCGAACATCTTTTTTTCCAAGGTGATGCGATCTGCACCAAAGACATAACTGAGCGAACTGCAAGATCTGAGTGCATGCAACACAGCTTTTGCATTCAAAGGTCCCTCCATACATTTGTGAGCCTTTAAACGAACATCTTTTTTCAAAGGTGATGCGATCTGCACCAAAGACATAAGTGGTTCACTGGCATCTATGCTAACCCCAGACATTTCTACCAATGACTCTGCAAGCTGTCCACTGCTTAAGTCAGCTTTAAATCAGCAATGGCCTAGGCTGAACAGAAAAAGTTATTAAACCGACAAACCATCCACCCTCCCTAAAATGTTAAACTCTTTAAAGAGCTTACTTTGAAAATTATATATCCTTCAGGTGGTCTCACCTTTCATGACACCATGAAATCCATGAAGAGATGAAGCAATGTATGTGAAGACCGAGCTGAAGTTCGTTCGAAGCAGCCGGTCCGGTTTTGTGCCTAGAAGTTGTACAAAAAGAACTACAGAAATTGCCAAATATAACAGCAATGGACAAGCTAATAAGATATCACCTTCAAAAGAGAGCACAGCCCTGTCTTAGTCAAAAATATATGACTAAAGAATGTTCAAAAGAGTAATATGCACACTGGTTTTCCAGCTTGCCTACTGCAAGAGATGGAAGCAACTAAACTCCACTGATAATTGATGAGGCTAGAGTGAAGTTCACACCTGGTTCGAGTATCTAGTTAAACAGAAAATTTTGATATATGTATATAGGAGGTGAAAAACAGAAATGTCAACCTAAATTAGAGGGATATACTATAATTATAATATATTCCAAGAAAGCACACTTCTGAATACATGTAGCCACTGTTCTATTATATAAGGCACTTCTCCACACATGGAACAGGACAAAAAAGGATTCTATCAATCGATAGCAAGATTATAAAAATTACTCCATTTGGGGGAACCAGGGTTTAAATAAATAAATAAATAAAATATCCATAAGGGAGTTCACATATCTTTTTATAAACTAATAAAAATGTAAATAGAACTAGAAAAGGCTGTTCCTATTCTTCACCACCGTTGTGTCACCACCACCAGCAGACAGCCGCTAATTAAAGAGTTTCTCTTTCAATTCTGGGTTACATGCAACTTTTTCTCATTGTGCATGAGTAGTGTTCAACCTGAAATCAAAGCAGACTGTTTCATTTGCAGCAATCAGCTGTTGCTGGTGACATAACTCCCATTACACTGGCAGAGCTCTGTAACAGGATATGAGCCACTATAAAACAGACACAAAAAAATACCAATTAGCAATTAGAAACACTCCATGGACAGGGCTCTGGGAGTTATAATTTTAAAAAAGTAATGTTTCCATGTTCAGGTTCTCTGAGACATTCACATTTCTAGAAACATAGGAAGCTGCCATGTGCTGAGTTAGACCACTGGTCCACCTTGCCCACTATGTTCAGTCCTGACTAGCAGAGGTTTCTCCAGGTTTCAGGTAAGGCACTTCTCCTAACCCTACCTGGAGGTGCTTGAGAATTTAACCTGGGACTTTCTACATGCAAAAGATGAACTGTACCACTGAGCCATGACTTTTTCCAAAACTCATGTGCTTTGCCTATGTGCTACAGTCCTCTCCTCTCCCGTACAACAAACAAACAGAGACAACTGCAGGTATACTAAGCTTATCTTTTAACAAACAGAGGCAACTGCAGGTATACTAAGCTTATCTTTTGCCTTCTGTGCAGCAAAATCTTCATTTCATGCATCCTGCCGAAACCTAAACTGCTGTTACGAAGAATCAACACTTACTAGGTAAGGCAAGAAGACTAATGTACGTTTGCAGCTTCTCAAAAACTGCTGTCAACTTCTTCATGTCACTCTGGAGCTCCGTGTTCCTGTCTCTTAACGCAGCTGTGCAAAGAGAAGATTCACACTCTTCTTCCAAACTAGGAACATATGAATTTATGTTTTTAAAAGTGAGAAATGTGGTGGTGGTGACAGTTTATTTATTTATTTATTTTGATAAAAACAACAGTTTTATTTATTTATTTATTTAATTTGTATCCCATTCCCATCAGTTTCATGGCACTACTCTGGGTAGGTTACAACACAAATAGAAAATAAAATAAAACCCAGAAACATTAAAAACAGCAACAATAGCTCTAAAAAAACAGATGGCACTGACTAATCATATGAACTCAGTGCAGACAGAGGAAAAGAGGGGAGGGAAGAAGAGCAGTGCAGACGGAGGAAAAGAGGGGAAGGAAGAAGAGGAGGGGAAAGAAAAAGCAGGGGAAGGTGGTCGGCTAGGGTTGGTATGGAAAATCTCCCTGAAAAGCAGTGTACTTAACTGCTTCCTACTAAATGTCAACAGGGAGGGGGCTTTCTCCAGAAGCTGGCTCCATAAAAGTTGAAGCCACCGTGAAGAAGGCCCTACCTTTTGTAGAGGATTTATGGGCCTCCCTCGGGCTGGCCACCTGGAAGAGCCTCGACCGGGATGATATTGTGAGTTGGACAGATGACTTTAAGGAGAGACGCTCCAATAAGTAACATGGGTCCAAACCGTAGAGGGCTTTGTATGTGAGTGTCAGAATCTTGAACCTGATCCGGGATGCCATGGGCAACCAGTGGAGGTGGGCCAGAACCGGAGTGATGTGGTCAAATTTATTTGCACTCACCACCAGTCTGGCTGCTGCATTTTGGACTCGCTGAAGTCTCTGGATCAGGTTCAAGGGAAGCCCCACATAGAGAGTATTGCAGTAGTCGATCCAGGAGATGATCAGGGCCTGTACCAAAGTCCTGAGGGAGTCCTTGTTTAGGTAGGGGCAAAGTTGGGCAATTAGCCAAAGCTGGTTAAAGGCTGATCAGGACGCGGCTGCAATCTGGGACTCCCAAGAAAGGGCCAGGTCCAGAAGAATGCCCAAATTACGCATTGGTCGTTAAACTGGAGAGGAGTACCATCCAGCCTAGGGACCATCCCCTCTAACCTATCAGAGCTTTCCCCCCTCCCCCAGGAACAGAATTTCTGTTTTGTCCGGGTTCAGTGGAGCCTGTTAGCCCTGGTCCATGTCAGTACTACAACCAAACAACAGCAAGATCTTCAAAAAAGGACGACTTTAGGATACTTTCTTGAATATGTGAAAAAGGACTGTGTGACACATTTGCTGACTATTACTCTGGACTGATGGGCATTGTTTGGGGAACCAGCGGTTGGGCATTTGATGTCTCACTATGGCTCCCAAAAGAAGATCCAGCCTGTGTAGCCTTGGTCAAGTTGCACAGACCCAAGTAGCATTCCCTACTGAGTAGGCAGAGACTACTCAGAATGGAATACTAAACTACTTCTGAGTTGTCTCTTCCTAGAAAACTCTGGAAAGGATCATCTAGGTCTAAATAAACTTGGCAGCATATGATGATTAATTATTGGTCGGGGGGGGAAGCATCCATTTCTTATTTGAAATAAGCTTTGGCTGTGGAACTGGAAGGAAGGCACACATTCTCTCCTCATGTTTCAAATGAAACATGGTTTTAACCGACAGCAGCAGGATTTATTTGGTAGATTAACCAGAAGGAATCTCTCTTATTCAGCAAAGCAAATTCTTAAATCAGCTGAGGCATAAGCTAAGGTATACTTTAAATCAGGAGCATCAAGGAAAAATATCAAAGATTTCCCCTTAACAACAAATGGGATATTTTCATTGTAAAGTTCTCCCATTTCTTTTAGTGTGTCAAAAAAACACAAAAAAAACAAATCTATGTCAGTCTCCCAGAAAAACATAAGCTTATAATTAGTTTTAAAGCTACCGATTCCTCTCTACCACCTTGTGGGTTTTAAGTGCGGGAGTTCTTGAAAGCTGTAGATCATATGAACCTTGGCCATGAAGGCTGGCAATGATGGGAGTTGTAACCCACCATATCTGAAGATGCACTGTGTTAGAGAAGGATGATGTACATCAGCTTGAACACCTTGCAGCAGAAAGATGATTAAATTCATTTTATAAATAAGTTCGTGACCAATTAGGAATTCTTGAGAGTTTTAACATCTTTTAACTCTTCTAAAGACATGGACAGGCCATGACAAATTCTCAAGAAAGGGGTAATTAACTATTCTAGGAAAAGCTACCAAGGACACTAGTCAAGACTTTTCTGGAAGTTGAGTCATGCCAACTGGACTTCAAAGACATGGACGGGCCATGACAAATTCTCAAAAAAGGGGTAATTAACTATTATAGGAAAAGCTACCAAGGACACTAGACAAGACTTTTCTGGAAGTTGAGTCCTGCCAACTGGACTTCTTTCTTCTTAGGCTGAAACTTTTCGCTCCTCATCTAAGTAGCTTCTTCATTGAAGACTGAAGACTACTACTTTTGGGTGCAGGCTTAGAACCATTTCCCAACAAGATGGAAGGATTAAGGGATACTGCTCCCAGCAAAGTGACCTTTTTCAGTGAAACTGGATGTGCACCTTTCACACTGTCTGATCACACCCTGAGTTCCACTGATCCAACAGGCCTACTCTAGTGTCTAATCATACAAGTACAGTATACTGACAAAGCTGGTCTGTTGACTGGTGGCAATATAGTATGTATTAAAAGCACATGATTGCCTTCAAAGAAGCATCTCTTTAGCTTATACTGTTCCTGCACTGAAATGTCTTCTGGAGACCATGGGCATAGGGTGGGGGGAAACAGCAAGCCAGGGGAACTGTGCCTTGTTCAAGTGGAAGTGCCTTTCCATTTGTGCAAGAAATCTTTGGACTCAAGTAACACTGTTTTTAAACATCATCATTTGTAATTTGTTGTTATTTTCAGTCATTTTAT